CCCTGCGACGAACGTAATCAAGAAGCAATTCCAGGATTGCAAGATAAATCATACGAGTTCATTATCACGCTCAAGACTAGTTTTTTTCCTTCCCACAGTTGCAACATGGATACTCAGTCAGAAGAGACACCATTGCTGCACTCCAGGCATGAAGCGCTATATCAGCGCTTCACACCCGTAGAAAAACGCGGCCTCGTCGCGATGGTTTCTGTCTGTGGACTGTTACCCTGTGAGTATCACGCATATCATTCTCAACAAGTGTTCAGAGAATAACGTTCCCTCCCTTCCTCAGTTTTCGTCTCTGGAACATTTATACCTTCTATCCCTCAGATCGCAAAAGACTTAGATACAACAGGTCCTATCGTCAGGTGAGTTGCCAACGCATTTCCGTACTCATATAATATGGGCGGCTTGGTGAAGCTGACAACATCCCCAGCTTAGCCGTCAGTCTATTTTTCTTCGCCGCATCCCTCGGGTCTCTCACCGCCGCGTCTTACTCAACTTTCTGTGAGCGTCTATCAAATTTTGATTACTCCCGTCTTACAATGTCCCGCCCTCAGACGGACGCAGACCGATATACTTATGGGGTCTACCCCTCCTTTCCATCGGCTCCGTCGGGGTCGCATCTTCAGTAAACATACATCAACTTATGGGATGGCGCTTTGTACAAGCGTTAGGCGCATCCCCGGGGCTAGCTGTAGGGGCGGGCGTTATTGGTGATATCTACAAGCTTGAGGAGCGTGGTACAGCGATGGGAATATTCTTTGCCGTAAGTTTATGACGTAGAATCTGTCGTCGGACACGGTTTTAACGGCCTCGAGAAGGCTATCCTTCTTGGGCCTGCATTGGCGCCTTTAGCTGGAGGTAAGCCCTACTCCGAGGCTGGGCGCTTCANACTCCCCAATCAAATCAATTTATTTGGACAGGGATCGCGGCGCACTACTCATCATGGCGCACTATGCAGCTCGCGCTGGGCGTCTGGGGTCTAGCTGCGTTTGTTTGGATAATTCTATTTTTTCCCGAGACGAGTCACCCTGGGACGAGAGGAGTGGAGAAGATTGATCCTGTAAAACGACCGACGTGGAGACCTGTATTCTTAACCCCTTGCTCCACTATGGTTACTCCGCAGTCCCAACGTCCTGGCGGTGTTAGTTTCTTATTTCCATGGGCATCTGTGCTTTCGCTCATTGCTGAACATGCCATTTTCTATGGTGAATATGTAGTCCATGACGGGACTCACGGTCTTGCTCTCAAATTACGGTGCGATATTCTTGTTCACGATAATACAATTGTGTTAACTTAATTTTTCTCGACAGTGCTGCTTGTCCCGTTGGCATACACAATCGTAAGTATTCTTAATTTATTCGCACAGCCTAAGACTCACAATAGTATCCTCGAAGGGCGCGCGTTACAAAATAACGAATGAAGCGCTCATCGGAGCATGCTTTTTGCCATCGGGGCTAGGGAATCTGAGTCAGTCCCACTCAAATATAGTCACCATTCCTCAAATAAAGTCATTCTTTGTTGACAGTCGGAGCGCCTCTAGCTGGGCGTATGTCCGACAGGATCGTTGTTCGGTGGCGCGCCAAACGCGGAGGCGTGTGGTACCCCGAAGACCGCCTACGAGCAGCTGTATACGGCGCCTTGTTTTTTGTTCCCCTCTCTGTGCTGATCTCTGGATTGTTGTTGAGGTATGTGGATGGAAAATTGGGTTTTGTCCTCAATTTGGTCTGCCTTTTCTTTAATGGCATCGGGGTGCGTGCGAGTCTTGATATAGATAACAAGCCAATTTGCGAATAAGGGTATAAACATCTCATTGGTTTTGGGCAGGTTGATATGGTACTGAGCCCCTCTGCGGCGTACGTCGTGGACATCATGCATGCTCGAAGTGCGGAAAGCATAGCTGCGAACAAGTTGGGTTGTTTTTTATGTAATCCCGTCGGTCTTGAACTTACGTTCCGATCCCTCACCCTCAGCGGATTTAGATCCATTCTAATGGGCGTTTTCAGCGCGGGGATCCTTCCTATGGTGGAGACCCACGGCGTGGTGGTGACCAACACATTGTCTGCCCTGTTTGTGTGGTTAGGCTTCGGGTGCGTTTTTTTCATTTTATTTGCGACCCCATGATGGAGTTGAACCACGTTGATTTGTCCTGGCGTGGCGTATATAGTTTATTATGGTTTACCATCCGGAATGGCGAGCGGATGAGGCGTTGCATCGATATTGGGTACTCGACGGTTGGAAATAATTGATTACACAAAGGGGAATAGAGGAACGTCGCTGTGTTATGTATAACACTGCTGATATGGCGGAGGGCGACTCCAAGTAAGTAGCGCTCAACTGGGTCCGCTAGAATGTGCCAAATGTCCGGGAACCTTTGTGGCCCCCTGGTACTCACTCACTACTGATATCCAAACCGCCATGAAATCCTTAGTGACGACATTTTGAGGATCCTTCTAGATTGCAGGCCATGTTCTAAAGACGCTCGGATGATGGGCTGCTGTCAGGAACATGGATGTGTGATCAGCACCAAGTGATCATGATCTCCTGCCCAGTTTTGTCCATCAGCCTCCAGCCGCCTCTGGCACGATATCGACCCGACGGTGCACATAAATCCTGCGCGTCGGACGTTGGATGGATAGAGTCTAATTTTGAGCAGCCGAGTATAAAGCCGGTTCTCTTGCTCATCGATGCGATCATTGCGAGGATCCTCCGCCTCCGATTCGGAATGGGTATGAAGCGTCCGGCTTTAAACGGAGCATGAAGTAGACAATTGTTGGCTGCCCTGGGATATTTCGGCATTACAATGCAACATCAGGCAAGACTAAAATCAGCTAAAAATCAGATAAGCGGAAAGTGACCAGTTGACGGCCCTCAAGGCAACTGATTGGGAGATGCCTTGGAGGTTCGACCCAATGTGATGTGTTGGGGACTCCCCCCAATTGCCCTGTTCGTTACAGTGCGGCATGTGTATCTCCGCGACAAGGCATAGCCCCCCCGTTCGTGGTGTCGGCGGTGGGCAGTTCCACGATTTACCGGGGCCGAAATGGTATTTTTAAAGCTGCGGTCTCCACTTCTGAATCACCGACTGCGGTCATTGTTTGAGAGAAAACGTTTCATTCTTCCTCCCCTCCTTCTGGACGAAAAGTTTCACGAACTTCATCGGTTACCCGTTCCCGTCCCATGTTTGAGGAAAGAAGAATTAATTGCGTGGTGAATTTTCAGGGAATGGTAACATCAGAACAGGCTGTTATTCCAAGTTGGAAAGAAATCAGGAATTGTTTGATGGATAAGACAACATGAGTTTAGCCTCGAGGCTGCCTGGCCCCTGTGTGGTGTCAGAGGTCCGTTGCTGACTAAGTGAGTTGAAAGTTATGCTTGTATGAAGGTTGTGGCTGACGGTGGATCTACCCTACTACCACGACACCATCTGCACCATCTCCAGCCTCTCGACAACGCTCGGCGTCGCTGATCCATTTTATGTTCACGGACAATGCTTGCTGTACCAGCCATATCAACATCGTAGTGAGTTAGACCCCCACAAACAGCCTTTGTTTTCTACATGGAAAACTTCACCTTCCAAGCGCTTCGTTGCTCAACAGCTTTCTACAGGATCATAACGGTATAATGGCCCCAATTGCTGTTGCTCGGGACCGTGCAGGTGGTTCCCAGCAACCAGGGAAATTTTCTCGCCAATCCACCCTCAATTTCCCCAGCTGTGGAGGATCCTCCACTTCTGTCACGACCGACTCTAACGCTCCCCTCGACCCTCTGTTTTTGACCTCCGAAAATATGGGTTACGACTGCCACCACGACATTTTTTTATCCTCTAAAAATTTGATTTACCCATCCCCACCATCCACGGAATTTCAGCACCCCGTTGCGCTTCCTGCGGGAGAATCACCTTCGCCGCCTTCGGCATACGTTTGGAGTCTCCCTAAGCCAGATCAACCAGCTGGCGGTCTCGTCTCATTTCCCTCAACCACTTGTTATGGTGGTCTCCTCGACTCCCCGTTGGTCATGCACCACACAGCGCTCAAATCGCAGGCACCACTCTCGCCTCCCCCCACGCAACCTACGTCGACCCTGGCCTTGCCACCAACCGACGCTTTTCACGACGTCACGCATGCCGCGTCATCATCATCCTCATGTCTCTCTCCCATTTTATCTGCGCAGTGCCTCTCTCCTATATTGTCTGGCGCAGACTCGCTGGACGGCACCGATCCCGCATCATCTTCATACCAATCCACCTCGTGCCTCAAATCCGAAGGCGTAGACCCTCTGCTCTCGCCTCTTTCCCCAGAGTGGGACAGCAACAGCATTTCCCACATGCAATCCACTGAGTCTCCGGAGCATTCTTATCTCTTACGCGATACCCCATCTACGTTGACGTCGTCACCCCCACTCCGCTATCATCAGTGTGAAATTGCAGGGCCCTCGTACCGCCCGTTCCTGCCCCTCCTTGACATACCCAATGGGGCCGATTCATACCCCATGCAACCCCCAGATATATGGGATGATCCCAGTCCGGAATCGATGCAAGTCGATCACGACTATATCAGCACAAAAGCTGCAGATCCAAGTACTGGGCATAATACACTCTCACCTCTTTCCACACCTTCCATTTCCCCATCGACGCCTCCACCAATTCTGACGAAATCGACTCCGATCTCGTCTTTCGAGAACCATGGATAGGTTACTTCCAACACCCTAATTCCCCGTCCATACCATATCTCCCCTCTATAGATGACGAAGACATGAAGCTCAGCTCACCCTCTTCCCCTTCAATGCGGTCATTCACGCTCTTACCCACCGACGACGACGCTATGAGCGTCTTGCCATCATCTCCGGGCCTTCCCGTCCTCTCCCTGCCTGGCGCAGACACAGACGACGACCTCCTGTCAGAGGAGCTTGGCCCCTCCAGACCTACATTCGCCCCCAACTCATTTTTCGTGCCCGCGACGCTTTCGCCAACCTCTCGAAGTTTGTTACTTCTTGATGACCCGAATGACGTGCCGCCACCGCGATCCCCGTCCCCTGAGAATTTCCACCTGGATCCGGCGTTGTTGGCGGAGTATCCGGACCCTGATTTACAGAAATTACATGACCTAAGGAGGAGAGCGCAAGCAGCTGAACGGGCCGCGCGTCAGCGGGAACTCAACATTATTGAGGAAGATGGATTTATCCCTGCTGCATCAGAAGCGAGGAGGGCAGCAAGAAGGGAGAAGGAACGGGGGAGGGAGGTAGCGGCGCTCTTACGGCTCAAGCTCAACGGGAGTAGCAGCAGCCGTGGTAGTAAGAACATTAGAAGGAGTAGTAGTGGGAACGACGACGACGAAGCGCGATCACCACCTTCCCCATCACCGTCTACACCCCATTCGTCCCCACCACGACGGTCGAAGAAGCCGAAGATTACGAGTGTGCCGCAGCTTGTTGCGAAGATGATTTTTAGCAGGCGTGAGCCGCGGCCGCCGGTGGGTAGTAGGGGTAGGATGAGGGAACATGGGTTGATGAGGAGGTCGCCGCTTTCGAGGACTGTTGATGAT